GCATGAAATTTGCCATGGTTTCCACAATACTCATTTATAAAAGGTGTGGTGCGTGTATGTGCATGTAGCAGATTTTACGAAAGATTTGGAAGAGACCGAAAGGTAATTGCATCTCAAATAAAAATATTGTATGCTTTCTCTTACATGTGAAACTCAAAATATAAATAAAGAACAAAATAAAAGATAGATAATAAGAAACAGGGAGAACGATCTTTTGCAAAAGGGAAGATAACCGAGAGAAGGAAGGAGGAAAGAGCAAAGGGAAGAAAAGGGGCTAAAAAAAGAAATACGATGCATCATGTGTATGCACCAACTCCTCACAAGGAATATAATTGTCACGTACTGCAAACTACCAATAACATTTTTTTTAATTCTTAAAGGAGTAAAAAATGAAAGCAAACAAATAATGAGTGCATACTCCAGCCCTGTGTTATGTTGCTTGACCCAGTGTTCTTCACGTCTAGTCTCCTTGGTCGGCTGGCTTACCTGTCCTCTACGTCCAAGCCTGCTCCTTCCAATGCAGAGGAGCTAGTTTAACAACCTCTTTGTGCCTGAGCTTTACCTGACCCTTACTGTTGGTGATTCACCTTTGTCTGTATCCCTCTTTTCCTTCCTACACTTATTTTTCTTAACACATATGATTTCAGATTTTTTTTTCTTTTGGCTTTTTGAGACAGGATCTTGTTATGTAGTCCAGGCTGGCCTTGAATTTACTGTGTAGCCAAGGCTGGCCTTGAACTCATAGACCCCCAAGTGCTGGGATTACAGGCATGTACCCCCACCATGTGTGTCTCCTAAGAAGAATTTTCGTATCGGCTTTTAGGGCATTAACTTTTCTCACCTTGGTATATTTTGGGTCAGATTCTCTTATCAATTTTGCTTTTTAATACCCCCACACACACATTTCCTTTCCCTCCCCTCCTTCATTCTACAGGCATACTATGTATGTAGCTCTGTACTCAAGCCTTTTCCTCCAAAAGCAGCCCGAGTTTGTCCCAAGAAGAGGATGGTAGAACTCTTCCATGTTGTAACCATGGCAAGGATCTAAGTCTCAGGCTGGGGTTGCATAGAACTGGATGTAGTTGGGGATTTTCTTCCTGCTGATCTCCAAGAACTCTCCCTTAGTCCTACACACAGCAACCCAAACCCTACAATTATTCTCTTAAAATTTGTCATGCAAGCCGGGTGTAGTGGCGCACTCCTGTCATCCCAGCGCTCGGGAGGCTGAGGCTGGAGGATCATTGTGAGTTTGAGACCAGCCTGGGCTACAGAGTGAGCTCAAGTCCAGCCTGAACTGCATAGTGAGACGCTGTCTCAAAAAAAAAAAAGGATAAAAAAAATTGTTATGCAGCTTTCTTTAAGGTTTGTTTTGCATCCTAATTTTTACATCAGTGGATAAAGGAAAAGAAGGGCAGCGTAGGTTTAACGACACAAACTTCTCCAAAGCACAGAAAAGACGAAGCAAAAGCTTTCAAGTTTCACAGGCTGCCATTACTTTCAGAGACATCAAAAACAATCTTATCTTCCTCTCCTCTCTCCTGCATTTTTTTTTTTAGGAAGCCTGTCTGCCTTACAGTTTTTCCGGCTTTTTTCTCAGTCTGAACACACTTTTGAAAATATTGACCCTTTCCTCAGGCCCTCCTAGTATTGCAGCATTCACAAATACTGTTGTACAATGTGAAGGGAGACTTACTTCCTCTCCCTGTAACTGTTTTACTGTTTAAGGTTTTGTATTGTTGACTGCTGGACTCACTCACCTGGTAGCTGTCCCTTTTCATAGTCCTGGGTTGGCCGACCAACCCTGGCCATTCTTTTGGGCACCTACTGGGAGCTGCTTCTGCAGGAGTCTTCACAGAGTGTTCCCCCAGCTACATGAGCAGTCACTATTCTTAGTGACTCAATTCCAGGATTTCTTTTCTCCTCAGTGGTCTTTGGAAAGATAATTTTAATCTCCCTGGAGTTGAGTGGCATATTTCAAAACTTGTATCCTTGTAAGGTCTAAAAGAAAAATACAGAATCAGAAGACTGAAAGGAACTTCTGACAACTGTCTCCATATTGCTGCCCTTTGGGGCAGCTCTCTGTAAAGCCATCAGAACTGAAGCTTAGCAAGAGGACATGGCGGTGTGGAGTGGTGGAAGAACGCTATGCAGAAGATGGCTTTAAATTTCTGTTGTGCCGTTTCTAGCTGTATCGTCTGTGCACATCGCCTAAGTCTCCTGAGCCTTGGTCAGGTTCTTTTTCTGTAAAATGGGAATAGTGTGGCCTACCTCCTCCACACATTGGCTGCCTTTGTACAAAATATTAAAAGCACCCCGTTGTGCAGACGTAGTTCTAGGTATGTGCACCTAAGCCAAGGGAGCACAAACTGTAGAGTTTAGCCTGCACTTGCCCCTCAGCTTGGCACCACAGAGCAGGGCATAACCTAAATCCTATACCGCAGCCAAGGAGGCCTACAGGATCCACCATTAGCACCAAGCCTGTGGGAAGGATGGGAACAGCTTGTCCGGTCCCTTGGCAGGGGCTTGGCACCTTAAGAAGATGCCTGCCTTCTTGCCTCCTGGCTAATCTTGCTTCATACTGATTCTTCTGTGTTTTCATCACATTACTAACAGTGTCGTATGAACATCCTAGCTCAAGGGTGTCACTCTTGGAGAACGAGCGCAGGGAAGTACATTCCTGTTCCCTGATGGTCTCTGGCCTCTACCCTCTTCCTACTTCACAGATTCCTGGAGGATTAAATAAGACCAAGAAAGGGAAAAGCATCGAGTCCCTAAATTTCTTAATTGTTTCTCTTCACATCTCAATATAAATTTGAGATATCCTGGCATGTGCCTAGGCATTTTCCTGCTACGTTCCCTTCCAGAGATTTCCTAAGTAGGGTGTTTACCCTCCAAAAAATGAGTATGCTCCACTGAAATGTGAGACAAAAGTGAAAATTTTCGTTTATATATGTTTGAAACTTAATGAGAAAGAAGCTAAGCTTTTCCAATATTTGACATATTGACTGAGATATGGACTGCAGTATAAATATGCATATACTAGGTGGGTATGCACAACCTTTTTTCTCTGATACTGCTAAATGATAAAAATGTTTGAAGCCACTGTTCAATTCTGACATCTCTGTAGCTGCGGAGCTTCTAAGTGTAATCATATTTATTATTCTTCCCTGCCTTCTTTTGACTTAAATTGTTAGTAGTTGCCTGTTGTTTTGCTTTCTGAGACAGAGTGTTATAATCTGGGGAGCGAAGCCGCTCGTGCCTTCCAGCCTCATTTCTTGTTATAAGCGTAGGAGATGGAAAGAAGCAAGCTTTGTCCCTAAAATGTGAAATATTTGTATAAAATAATTTGTTACTTAGGATAAAGTCAAATGGGGATCCTTTGGTTTAATCTTAGAAATTTCATTAAATAGAATAGGAATGTGGATTCAGAGTCCACATAGCCCTGGGCTAGCTAACATTAGGTGTCTCACACTTTTTTTTTTTTTTGCTTTTTTTCCGGTACCGGGAATCGAACTCATGACCTTGCACGTGCCGGGCAGGCACTGTGCTGCTGAGCTAAATCCCCAGCCCTCACTCTCTTTATCTTACAGAGAATGATGGGACTAATGAGTGACTCAGCAGTTAAAAGAATAGCCATGGCATTATGAGACTAGGACGGCTGCATATTGGGCGCAGCGGAAGTGTGCTGCTTTCCTCACTGTCATCACCGTCTTCACCCCCCGGAAAGGTGTCCTTCACACAAGGACCAATACAGCCCTGAACTGCAAGGACCAGTAGCAATGCTGGGTTCATTCACTTTCCCAAAAACTATATACTGGTGGTCTCCTGTGTAGGGGGTACTTTACCAAATGCTGGGTGTTTCACTCCATTTTCAACACTGTGCTTTTGTCTCATGGGCTGTGTAGTTCCCTTGGCACCAGCTTGTGGTTGCATACCGTGCCACAGAGGTCTATTTTGCAAAGAGTTCTGTTTCTTTCCACTTCTACCATCAAAGTAAAGAGCTTTGGTGTGGGAACATCACTAAACATTCTACCCTTGCAGAATCACTAAACACTGAATTTCCAGGCATTTGACTTTTCATGGTACAGTGGACTTTCTCTGAATTATTTATTCCACATGCCATTGTTGTATCCTCCTTAGTTATTATTCTCACTTTGAACTGTTTGCTTATTGTTCAAATTGTTCCACTTGCCATTGCTTCTTGCTTACGATAATTCCTCCAAGTTGATGCAAGGTGTATTCTGCCTTATCCTACCTCAGAAATGGTATATTCTGCCTTCCCAATTTGCAATCTGATGAAACTGCTTGACATTCTTACAGTGTAGCATTCTTTTCAACACACTAAACATTGGTAAAGGGATAGACGTGCTCAATATGGTACAAAAAGCTAGCAGATCTAGACATAATTGTTTTACGGTTGACTACTTCTATATTATTTCATTCTCTGAAGAAATTGCTTTTATGAAATCTTAGCAAAATTCCCATTATATTAAAGCTATTCATATTCATCTATGCATATAGTCCACAATATGTATAGAAAGGAAAGGAGAAATAATAGGAATTTTTCCATATTTCTTTCTAATCCTTTTACTGCACCTATAAAAACCAATAGAACACTGAAGGCTATGCAAATCAGAATTGAATCTGGCTGGGGATGTTCTTTCTAGACTAGTGATTGATTCTCTCTGTCTCCAGTGAGAGAAGAAATGCAAATTTTTAAGTAAGTGAATGTTCCCTAAATACTTGCTTTGTTTTGACTTGTTGTACATCCTGACAAAGCCGCTGTTTTATGTCATAACTTAGACATGATGAACAAAGTCAGACCTTTCATTTTTTTAACATATGAGCTAAGAATAAAATCTTGATGCTGGAACTGAACATTATATTTTCCAGGCAGAGGAAATGGACATTTATTGGATGTTATTGCTGCTTTCTTTACACTAATGACATTAGGTAAGCTTTGAGTAATATAATTTAAAAATATTAATTCTGTGTTTCAGGTCATGCAAGACAAGATAATCTGCCTTCCAAAAAGAGTGCAGCCTGCTCAGAACCACTCATCTGTTTCAAATGTCTCTCAAGCACTTGCCAGTACCACCCCGCTGCCTCCACCCAAGCCATCTCCTACCAATCCTGCCACTGTGGAAATGAAAGGGCTGAAGACGGACCTGGATCTTCAGCAGTACAGTTTCATAAACCAGATGTGCTACGAGCGAGCCCTGCATTGGTATGCCAAGTACTTCCCCTACCTTGTGCTCATCCATACTCTGGTCTTCATGCTGTGCAGTAACTTTTGGTTCAAATTCCCTGGATCCAGCTCCAAAATAGAACATTTCATCTCCATCCTGGGAAAGTGTTTTGACTCTCCCTGGACCACACGGGCTTTATCTGAAGTATCTGGGGAGGACTCAGAAGAAAAAGACAACAGGAAGAACAACATGAACAGGTCTAACACCACCCAGTCTGGTCCAGAGGGCAGCCTGGTCAACTCTCAGTCTCTGAAGTCAATTCCTGAGAAGTTTGTGGTTGACAAATCTACAGCAGGAGCTCTGGATAAAAAGGAAGGGGAGCAAGCAAAGGCCTTATTTGAGAAGGTGAAGAAGTTCAGGCTGCATGTAGAAGAAGGTGATATACTGTATGCTATGTATGTTCGCCAGACTGTGCTCAAGGTCATCAAATTCCTCATCATCATTGCATATAATAGTGCTCTGGTTTCCAAAGTCCAGTTTACAGTGGACTGTAATGTCGACATTCAGGACATGACTGGTTATAAAAACTTTTCCTGCAATCATACCATGGCACACTTGTTCTCAAAACTCTCCTTTTGCTACTTGTGCTTTGTAAGTATCTACGGATTGACGTGCCTTTATACCTTATACTGGCTCTTCTACCGTTCTCTAAGGGAATATTCTTTTGAGTATGTCCGGCAGGAGACTGGAATTGATGATATTCCAGATGTGAAAAATGACTTCGCTTTTATGCTTCATATGATCGATCAATATGATCCTCTTTATTCCAAGAGATTTGCAGTGTTCCTGTCTGAAGTCAGCGAAAACAAGTTAAAGCAGCTAAACTTAAATAATGAGTGGACGCCTGATAAGCTGAGGCAGAAACTGCAGACAAATGCCCATAACCGACTGGAACTGCCTCTTATCATGCTCTCCGGCCTTCCAGACACTGTTTTTGAAATTACAGAGTTGCAGTCTCTAAAACTTGAAATCATTAAGAATGTAATGATACCAGCCACCGTTGCTCAGCTAGACAATCTCCAGGAACTCTCTCTACACCAGTGCTCTGTCAAAATCCACAGTGCAGCTCTCTCTTTCCTGAAGGAAAACCTCAAAGTCCTGAGTGTCAAGTTTGATGACATGAGGGAGCTTCCCCCCTGGATGTATGGGCTGCGGAATCTGGAAGAGCTCTACCTTGTCGGCTCTCTAAGTCATGATATTTCAAAAAACGTCACCCTTGAGTCTCTGCGTGATCTCAAAAGCCTTAAAATTCTCTCTATCAAAAGCAACGTTTCCAAAATCCCTCAGGCGGTGGTGGATGTTGCCAGTCATCTCCAGAAGATGTGCATACACAATGACGGCACCAAGCTGGTGATGATCAACAACTTAAAGAAGATGACCAATCTGACAGAGCTGGAACTTGTCCACTGTGACCTGGAGCGCATTCCTCATGCTGTGTTCAGCCTGCTCAGTCTCCAGGAACTGGACCTGAAGGAAAACAACCTGAAATCTATAGAAGAAATCGTGAGCTTCCAGCACTTGAGGAAGTTGACAGTGCTAAAACTGTGGCATAACAGCATCACCTACATCCCAGAGCATATAAAGAAACTTACTAGTCTGGAACGACTGTCCTTTAGTCACAATAAAATAGAGGTGCTGCCTTCCCACCTCTTCCTATGCAACAAAATCCGATACTTGGACTTATCCTACAACGATATCCGATTCATCCCACCTGAAGTCGGAGTTCTGCAAAGTTTACAGTATTTTTCCATCATGTGTAACAAAGTGGAAAGCCTTCCAGATGAACTCTACTTCTGCAAGAAACTTAAGACCCTGAAGATTGGGAAAAACAGTCTATCAGTACTCTCACCGAAAATCGGGAATTTACTATTTCTCTCCTACTTGGATGTCAAAGGGAATCACTTTGAAATCCTCCCTCCCGAACTGGGTGACTGCCGGGCTCTGAAACGAGCTGGTCTAGTTGTAGAAGACACTCTCTTTGAAACTCTGCCCTCTGATGTCCGGGAGCAAATGAAAGCAGAATAACTTACTTTTCATCAAAGTGTGACTGAAACGTGCTTCTACCAAATACAGTACAAATAATTAGGTAGTCTTAATGCCTTTCTTTTTTTTTTCTTTTTCACACAAAATGTACACAGAGATTGAGTGAGCAGTATGTATTTTTAATAAAAATGTAATTGTATTTTTCAATATTAGTATTTTAAAGTTTTTTTGTCTTGGAACCTAATGGATCTGTTATAGTTTTCTACTTGCAGAAACAGATGGTTCTGTCTATGTTTTGGTTTTGTTTTGTTTTTTCAGTTCATTGTTGTGAAAGGGAAGGAATTATAAGTTGCATGCATTTGGCATATTGTAAATGGATGAAGGTCTTTTGCCAACGTCACTTATAGCTTGTTTACACCTGAATATGGTCCTTACTTTTGTTTTCATCATGTGTGCACCAAGGAATCTGTGCTAATTATTTTAATATCAGTTGCCTTCTTTGGCCAAGTCTTTCCTTCTACAGGAAATTTTTCCATAGTGTGCAAATTCACAGAAGTGCACTGTCACAGAGTATTACTTTAATATTTTCCACCTCTCTCCAATTGAACCGTAAATTGCACAGTTTCATATACCCAAGCAGTTCTACTTATCCTTCGGCAAGGAGTTTGCAAGTGGGTGAAGAAAGCGATCTTTGGTGGTTGGCATTGCTTGAATTGGTCATTTCCAATTTAGCAGATTTGCATTTTTACCAACATTTTTAAAAATATCACTTATAAACTAAACACAGAAGCTCCTTTTCTTTAATCTCAATACTGCTGTGTAGTACTGGTGAACAACCTTAGAGAATTAGATTTATTTTAGTATCTAGTAGGTAATTAAATTTCAAAAGCATAGAATTAGAAGCCTGTTTTTTGAGTAATTTAATCATCTTTGATATCCTGATATGCAGATGCATCAGATGGAAAAAATTTCACTACTAAAGCGCTCTGTTAAAGAGCTGGCATATTCAGACCCTGTCCCTTCCTCCGTGCACCATGGCAGTACAAATCTATCCAAATTGTACCTGTTTCACAGAATAATGCATCTTTATGCATATCAGTCAGCTTCCCACAGGCCCTCTCTTGCTGTGTGTACTGGTGGTGCAAGCATGGGTACTCTGCTCTCTGACAATATATATCTCATCTAAAACGGTTCTGTTACTTTCTTAAAAGTACAAAAAGCCCTGCTAAATGGTGTCACTTAGCAGTACTCGTTGCCTGATCAGAGCTTTTATTTACCGTTTGTATTTAAAAACCCAACACAGTGTGGTATTTGAGCTAAATACTTCACTGACTGACCTTAGGAAGTTTTGTATCATAATAGTAAAAGAAAGTAAAAAGATGATTTGGGGTCAAAATGCTGTTTTAAAATATTGCTTCTTGGGACTGTGAATGTAGCTCAGTGGTAGAGTGTTTGCCTAGCGTGTTTGATTCCCCAACATGGGAAAACTAAAAAGTGCTTCTTGCTCCTGGTGAATTTGCACAATGCTACTTTGAGTTGTACATAGAAGGCAGCTATGGGAACTGGTTGGCGGATACATGTGCCTCATTTGTGTTTTAAACCTTTAAACCTTCATGATGGGGTGAAAGATTATGGAGAGAGATACATTTTGTTTGTCTAATCCAGTCATGAAGACCAAAGAGCTTTATCTCTTCTGTTCTATGTTAAAGTTACAGAATGGTGATTTTTGTATAGCTGATTTAAATAGACCTGGTGTTGAAGTTGTAGTAATTTTAAATAGTAACTTGGTTATAGTTCTCATATGATAAAAATATTCAATTCCACAATATTGGGATCCTGAGTATGAATGAAGTATTGTATTTAGAAACAGCCCTGCTGGGTTTAAACAAAGTTTGTTGGCAGATTGTCCATGGTGGTACATGACTAAAATACTGTATTGAAAAGGAAGCTTAGGTGCTGGGCATGCCTGTAATCCCAGCACTCTGGAGGCTGAGGCGGGAGGATTGTTGCAAATTCATCGCTAGGCTGGGCTACAAAGTGAGCTCAAGGCCAGCCTGAACTACATAGAGAGACCCTGTCTCAAAAAGACAAAAAAAAAAAAGAAAAGTAAAGTAAACTTAGACAACTGAGAGAAAAACACTGGGTGTACTCATTTCTGGATTAAAATTTATAGTTTTTTATATGTCACCCTTCAAAGGGGATCTATTCAGGTTAAAAATCATATTTATGCTGAAGTATTTATCTAGTATTTAATAATCTTATCTGAGTGCATAACTGAAATAGGTCACTGATAATTCTCTTTTATCACTTGCTCAAAATTCCAAAAGAATTTGATTTTCTTTCTTAATGATTTTGCAAGCTGACCCCTAACTGAAATTGTAAATAACATCAAGTCTCAATATATGACGTTAGGTAAAACTTTATGTTTTAACTAAGAAGGAAGATCTTTCTAATAGGTTTTATATAACAATTCAAAAGTCTCAAACTTAATTTTGAATCTAAATTTTCTGACTCTAGCCCTTTATAATTGTGTAAGTTTTTGTTCACACTCGTGAGTAAAAAAGCATCCAATTACTATTTAGCCTTTCAACGGGAATCTCAGGTAACTGAACTGCTACTTTTCTAAAGTTCTTTAACTCATCAACTCAGTGTATAGGGATAGTTACCTAATCTCGTTCTGTGTTTTACAAGTGCTCTTGCTAAAAAGGAACAACTAGCTCTACTTCCACAGCCTCTACAGGATTCATGAGAAATTACTGTGTAAATATAAAAACACCATGTATATTCTTAACTTCATTGGCTGCTTGACTCTCGTTGAGAGGTGAGCTTTTTGGTCAGTTGTACTGGTGGAATACAGAACAATTGATGGTCTGGCCACAAGGGGATGTATAAATGTGTCCCATTGAAACCTGCCTAAGGGTGCACCTCAGAACAATTGCACTTTCTTGTGTGTTAAGTTAGGTTTGCTTTGGCTTGGTATTTAACACAGTATTTTTAACATCAAGTTTCTTTCTTTCTTTTTTTTTTTTTTTTCTTTTTTGGGTTTTTTTTTTTTCAGGTACCGGGAATCAAACTCATGACCTTGTGCTTGCCAGGCAAGCACTGTGCCACTGAGCTAAATCCCCAGCCCCTAACATCAAGTTTCTTGATATGGTGAAAGCTGTTACTTACAATTGTAGGTTTTTCTTAGTGCTCACCCATTTCCTTCCCTGCCCGTATTTTCCAGCTGTTTTAATGCGCTATCACAATTTACATGGCAACTTGAGTGTCAGGCTTTGCCTGCTGTAATCATTTTGTTCATTTAGAGGAGACTCCTAACCTGGCTCTCAAACCCACTGTGTGGAGGGATCTAAAGAACCTGAAATCTTCCTTGTGTTCCTTGGGATCAGGGAAGTACAAATTCAGTATGGGCACTGTGATAGTTTGCGATTTCTGGTTTTAAGAAAGAGAAAATGAAATCTTTGCCTCATTAACGTTTCCCTCAAGAGGAAAGTTGCTGTTTTATTTTTAATTTTCTACTGTAAGAAAAGTCTATTCTTTAAGTAGATTATTTCTAATCTAAGTTCCCACCAAACACCTGCTCAACAGTAATGTGAAACAGTGAATATTCATGACCCATCACTATAAAAACTGTCAGTAGTACTTAGTAGGGAACAGACAACATAAATGTCAATATAATTCCAATTTGTTTTTAGAAAGCAAACTAAGATTCAATTAATTCTATAAATACTAAATGTGATAATGCTATTCAAAGATTTCACATTTGATGTAGGAGCTCAATAACTCAGGACAGGGTTCTCTACTAATCTCAAATCAGCAAAACATCCTAAGTATACAGAATTTTCTAATAACTTTTTTTTTCTTACTGGGGATTGGACCAAAGGCCTTTTCACTAAGCTACATCTCAGCTTTTTTTTTTTTTTTTTTTTTTTTTTTTTGGACACAGAATCTCACTAATTTTCTAAATTGCCCAGGCTGAGCGCAAACATTCAATCCCCCTGCCTCAGCCTCCCAAAATGCTGGTTACAAGCATGTGCCGTCACACCTAACTTCACCTTTTCTTGTCTGTTTGGAAACATGGTAAGAAAGCTTGGACAGTCTTAACCAGAATCAGACATGTCATAGTTTTTCAGATTCAGGCCCAGTGTCATGCTTCTGATAGTCTTATGCCAGCCTTCCAAACTAGTGTGCACTCTTGTTCCATCTTTCCAATGGCATGCACTAATGAGATGGCATCTTTACCTTTATTTGGGGGAGATAGACAAGAATCTCCCCCTGCCTCAAGGAATTTTTTTTAATCAGAAGAACTTGACAGGGGATATATAACTTCGGGCATCTTAATTTCTTGCATATGTCAAAGAACACATCCTATGCATGGTTTTTAATCTGGTACTGATTTCTTTTGCTAAGTACCTCTTTCTCTACCACTTACTCTGCTGCTTTTTCTTGGGATTGAAACTCCATGCCTTATGTGCCCGCTCAGTTTTCCTTTTGCCACCTGTTTACTCACTCTGTGAGTTCAGATTGTGTCAAATGCTGACAAAGTCTCTAATATTGTCAATAAAAGGCCTGAGGGTTGATCTGTCATAGTGTGCAGTCATGATAAAATGTCTCAATGTTATTTGGCTATGTAGTACATAGAAACAGAAAACAACAAATAAAGTCATTTTTGTACAACTTAACATTGAGATTTGTCCCTTTCTTACTTTTATAGAAGTCATGTTTATCTTTTGCATTTCTTAAACTATTGCTAAGGCTCCCTGTGCTCTGCAGGAAATGGGCTGTGTGCATTCTTTCGCTTCATGTTGAGCTAGTTTCTGTAATTGTGACTAATTATTTCCTTCCTTAATTCACTGTACTGCATCTACCTAAGGTGCCCCTGGAGTTTCATTTGGGTAATTAGTGCTGTAATACATAATCTGGAGTGCAAGTTTTATGCATTTGCCAGATCGAATTGTACAATAGCTGTCCGGCTCAGCTTTCAGTAAATACTCTTACAGTAATGATGGTGGTTGCTTAAAGGAATCAATGGTTCTGCACAGCTAGAAGGCCTCCCCTAATTAACCACACTCACTTAGCCTCAGGGAAGCTCTCTATAAGAGAATCTTATATACCACTTACACATAAGGAAATTGTGACTGGTAACTCTCAAGGCTAAGTTGTCTCTGCATGGCTGAGTGGGGGGAGGTGTGAGTGGGATTTTTTTTTTTTA